ACCGTTGAGGTCACTGCTGATGTTGTCGAGTTTGAAACAGCAGTGAAGGAAAATAAAATGTAAAATCACCAAAACAGTAAACGGTTGAAAAGTGAAGCTTCAGAGCACTGAGGTCCAGATGTTTGGTGTGGAGCCGACCAGGACCATCATTTAAATATCATTTATAGATCTATACGTATGCAATCATACATATATTCTTTACTTCCTGTGTGTTTTGTTCTTATTCCTGTTTGGCTGTGCAACAGGTTCACCGTGTGTCGCTGTGTTCAGAGACTGTGTTGAATCCTTGAATCACAGCGAGCACATGGTCCTGACAGGGCGAGGAGGTGGCAGGAGGAAGAGGAGAACATCCAGAGAACATGCTCCTCCTGTGTTAGTCCTCAATGTGACATCAGAGCAGATGGGTGACGATTAGAAGCACACAACATGTAGCAGTACGACAATATTAAAAAGGTGTCGTAAACTAATGAAGGACTTTTGTCTCAGCATCGAGTCTCAGACTGACGACGAGTCAAGTTCAGGAAACAAGCACAGACGGAAGACGCGCTGCTCATTTTTCAAAATAAAGCACCCTGCAGACTCTGGCAGAAAGAGTTATTTTATTTTTGTAAAGTTTTTATTCTTTCTGTATGGCCCGGTACCGGTCCGCGGCCCAGTGGTTGGAGACACTGCTTTAGGTGATAAAGCTGTTCTCTGCTGTCGGGTTTAACATGCTGTCGGAGTCCAGATGTTCCGGTACCGTCACAGGTGGAACACGACAAACTCTGTATTTTACTGTGGAGGAAATGGAGCAGAAATGCAAAATATACTTAAACAGGACCAAAAGTTTCATTTGAGTCTGTTGATATGAAGCAACGAACCAGAACTCGTTCTGGTTTCTTGTCTCTGAGTTGGGTTGTGAGATGGAGAACAGACGCTCTGCTGCTTTTCTAACCACTCAACTGTCTTTTGATTCTGTTTCCCTTCAGGTGCAACTAGGAGCAGAAGCTTCAGACAGAGCTGAACCCTGAGCAGATGGACGAGGTTTCAGGCTCCGTCTGGACCTAATGAAGCATCTTCTGGATTGTTTCGTGTCCATGTGCAGCCTTCAGTGCAGTCGTCAGTAACGTCCACCGTCGACCGTTCAGGTCAAACGCAGCTTCGCTCTGATGTCCATGAAAAACGGTTTTTACCAGAAACACCTGGAAGCCTGTGGATCTTTGCAGACGCTTAGTGTCTGTTTGTGGTCATGTTGCGAGTCTTTGCCGCTCTGAGCTGCATTAATGCTGCCGACAGTAAAACACGTTTCTCCATGAGAGGCTGATTTAACAACCAGCCAGTTATCCAGAGTCCAGCTGCTGCCTGGAATCAGCACCACGGCGTTTAGGAGCTTAGTTAGAATCTAGTCAGAAGTTTTGAGAGAAACAGTTTCAACCAGCCAGTAGTTTCTGCGCTTCACACACAGACGCTGGTGGTTCAGTTCAGGTGAGGTTACAGGTGAGCCGCTGAGGTTCTTCTTCCATTGGTGGAGAGCTACTGAGAAGAAGATCAGCTGCTGCAGCTCGTCTCTGTCGTCAGGCCGACAGGACGATGAGCAGGAACCAAACCTGCGCTGTTCACGGTACGCAGGCGTGATGTCGGCGTGTCGCTCGCTGCTGCTCACCTGTCTGCTGCTCGCCGCCATGGTCCAAGGCCACAGCTGGAGACCCTGCACAGGTACGCCGGTTCCTCACCTGTGTTGGACTTATTATTAGCAGCAGAGGAGCAGAAGGTTCTGTTAGCCAGAACCAGGTTCATAAAAAATCTGATCCAAAACAGGAAGATCATTCTGCTGTCAGGTGGACCATGACTGAAGGTAGGGGTCAGGCAGAGAAGCTAACGCTGAGCTAACAGAAGATAAATCTAAGCTATCAGAAGCTAACACTGAGCTAACAGAAGCTAAATCTAAGCTATCAGAAGCTAACACTGAGCTAACAGAAGCCAACCCTGAGCTAACAGAAGCTAAATCTGAGCTAACAGAAGCTAACGCTGAGATCACAGAAGCTAAATCTGAGCTAACAGAAGCTAACGCTGAGCTAAATGGACTCATTATCTAACTGTAAACTAACAGAAACTGACTCTGCACTAAATAGACTCATAAACTAACTTTGACCTAGCAGAAGCTAAATCTGAGCTAATGGAAGCTAACGCTGAGCTAACAGAAGCTAAATCTGAGCTACCAGAAGCTAACGCTGAGCTAACAGAAGCTAATTCTGAGCTAACTGAAGCTACCTCTGAGCTAACTGGACTCATAAACTAACTCTAAACTAACAGAAGCTAAATCTGAGCTAAC